CAGGCACACAGCAGCAGAGATCAATCAGAAGTTGGCCGAAGGCAAAGATCTGGTCACCTGGGCTGTGTGATTTGGTCGAGCGAAGACAAAGCCTCCCATCATTTGATGCAATCACCCCGTCGCTGGGGTGGGGGAGTCTTTGAATGTCTACTTCTACAGTTGGAGCTGATCCTCCTGCCGCAGCTTTTGATTCGGAAACAGGGTCCTTTGTTTGTTTGAGCTGCATTTCCGTGGTGGCAGCAAACCCACCCATAGCTTTCGGGGAGGTGGGAAGAGTAACTTGCGCATACTTGCGCACTCAGCGTAGTTCTTGCATCGTCGATGCTGCACTTAGTTGTTGTTTTATCGGAGAGCGACAAGATGAAATCACATGTTTGTGGCCTCTGAGGTTGATCACTTGTCCATGCTGGACGCATGACCCTCATCCATGAACATGATGTGAGGTTCAATGGCTTTGGATTCTGAGTGTTCAGGACTTTGTAGCAGCAGCATATATTGGACCAGCCCCCACCCTGCAGTAGTCAAACAGAACTCCACAGCGTGTAATGCTTAGGATGGCCTCCTCGACTATCCTCATTTATATAGTGGCAGTTGTGCAGCCACTGCTTCTTACAAGGTCTTTTGTCCCGGCATCTACCATCTCGCAGAGACTCTGAATGTGAAGATTTCTGGACAGGTGCAGTTAGTTGGGCAAGGGAGCAGAAATTTGGGCATAAAGTCGCTTGTTATGATCAGATGTCCACAGTGTGCAAGGAGTCGTGTTAGGCTTTGATTGATTGTTGATCGATGTTGCGCAGGTCAATGGATTAAACAGATATGCAAACAACCTGGCAGGTCAGATTGTCAAAATGTTTGCTACCAATTGCCAAAACAACAAGTTTTGTCTTTAGATTCAGGGTACCAGACCTGCTAGCAAGCTCGCTAGTTATACTTGTTACGCACTTATATTAAATATATAATTTAGTCTTAGTTCATGCATGATGCATTGAACTTGTTGCCGGATCACAGGTGAAATTTGCCACACAAGATGATTTGACTATGCCTGGCCTACGTAGTGGAACTGGTTGCCACTATAGGTTATCACATTTGCCAAAGACTCAAACACGCAGACTTAGATCCACCACCCTCGTTCTGGACAAAAGAGGTATCTGAGATCTAAAGGGGTTCGGACGTTTGATTGATTCCTGCTTGACCATTTGACCTCCGTTTGGCTTTACCCTGCCCTGCCGGAGTTCAGATGATGTTCTCCATGAGCCGAGTCTAAAGGAAGGTGTTTTTCGTCCAGGGGTGTGCGACGGTTTCCCGCTTGTCTCGCTTGATGGTTTTGAGTATTTTTCGAACTTCCACAGCGGTGCATTGCATCCAAGAACCAATGGGTCTATTGCAGGTTCCCCCGAGACGCACGCTTATTCTTGAAGAGACCCGGTTTGGAGGTGAGATCAAGGCAGCGGCCACCCCCCTCGCTTCTTAGGGAGTATGCCCTACAGTGACATAGCACTTGGGTGTGACAACCTGCTGTTTCATTCACAGCTGCTTTTTTTTGTGTTTTTTTCTTGGAGACCCCAGAGGTGCTTTTGGGCCTCGGCTTTGCCACCCTGGTGGCACCGCAGAATGACATGCCGTGCATTCAGGCGAAGCCGGAGCTGTGTGTGTGTGTGTGTGTAGACTGGAGTTTGCCCGGATCGGCGGTAAGGTTCTCAAGCATTCCAGCAAGACCACTGGCCCCCAATGGGGTGATTTCAGGAAAAGTGGCACCAACTTCGAAGTAGCCTCTAGCATGGGGATACTGTAGGTATAGAAGAGCCTTTGGGCGTTGCACCATTTTCGGCAAGATCACTGTCAAGGGTCTTAACAAAGCAGCGAGGAATCTTGTGGCTGCATGGTGCTATGTATTTCATGACGATTTCCCGCCAAGAAGAGTGCGACCTTTAATAAATCTTCCAAGTTTAAAAAGCAAGGTGCTTGCTTGTGTGTTGTGTTTTTTTTTTGTAGGATCCAAGCAGGGTATCTCCCCAATGTCTTCAGACAGCAAACCATATTGACCATATTGGAGATAGGCAGCCTGTAACAACTTCACCTTTGGCACACCTTAGACTTTCATGATCTTTCATGCACATATGGCCACCACATATGCCAGAGATCAACCACAGAATCAGACTTTTCTCCGCTTCTGCGCTTCTTGTTCCCACTCTTCGGCGGACTGATCCCCCGACTCCCGACTCGCAGGTCTTTGATGAGGCCGCTGGGGTTCGCATCAGCGGACTGATGTTGGAGGCCAGATGAGGACTGGACCAACCGGTGGAAAACACCAGCGGACCAAGCCGGAGGACGCCGGAGACTGGGTGAGGAGGTTCCAAATTGTTGTTTTCGAACCGTTCGAACCGGTCTCAGTGTGGAACTTGGAAGCCCTGGGCGTGCTTCGCTGGGAAGGTGAGATGAAGGTGTGTTCCAAAGTTTGGTGTTCTCCAGAAGATTCCAGAAGCGCCAACTTCAGCTGACGTTTGACATGTGGTAACGAGCAAGGAGAGCTGTAACATGTCAATATATATATATATAGATAGGAGGGTCTTGGATCTAGAGCAGGCATGCCTTGACTTTACAAACTAGTCGTGACTTGTGGCCCAACCTGGTGGCTCTTTGAGAATAGTATTGGCTGACAAATCAGATCTTGGGAACAACCTCTTTTGCCAGGTGGGTTTTGCAAGTATGTTGTTGCTGGCTTGCGTTCGGAGTTTCTTTGCTCCAGTCTCCCAGAAAAGTGCGCTGTCGAGGCCTTCTACCGGCCAGTGGAGGGAGCAAGCTTATCAGACCTGCCTGTAGGGCCGGAGGCGCTCTTGCGGATTGGCACGGGAGCTGCCAGTCACTTCGGCTGCAAGGTGCAGGTAGTGCAGATCTATATATTCATGAGATTCGCTGCCTTTCAGCATGAACCTGAACATCCATCATCAATTGGAACATCGTTTCACAGACTCAACATCACAAAAAAACAACACACACACACACGTGTTGTCGTTGCGATATCGCATCTAGGGAAGAAAGATCGGCCCCAAGCCTTCAACATGGCCACAACTCATCATGTGCACTCTCTTTCCATCGAGGGGCAGTTGAACCACAGGAATAATGTCTGTCAACATGCCTAGCCTGGCCTAGCAAACCTCTGAGGTATGAGGAGCAAAGCTTCATGTACGGGTCTTGAAGGAGCGACCGGTTTCAGAATAAACAACGGATCATGAACGCCTCCCAAGTGTGCAATGTCAGGCTTACTTATTTTTCCAGGTTTAAACGACATGGTTTTAAAGTTTTTAACGGATGAAAAGCACCTGTGCACACATTGTAGCGGTTTCCATAGAGAGGTTGAACAGTTGGTTCGATGGTACCTGCACTCCACGTTTAGAAGAGTCCCTGAATAGAGAACTCCACAGGAGAGCGACGGTAAGTAGCCTGCCTATCCCACAGGGTTTTTGATACATTTCAACCAGATAGTCGTCATGGAGCTGAAGCGTTCCGAATGTTCTTGGACCCTTTGAGCCCTTTGCATGCAGAAACCTTCCTTGAGGTAGCTCCGCTATGGCTTTCAGCTTCATTCACGACTGCTTCGCGCGCGTGGGTGGGCAGGAGGCGCCAACAAAATCATCGGTCATGATGGTGCTTTTCGCGAGCGAGGGCAAGGGGGTCAGGGACGAAGCACCTCCGTTTCACTCTGTGTGTGTGTTTTTTCACCTTTTCAGACGCGTGTCATTGTAACACAACCAACAGAGGTTGAAGGACCCGAACTAGACTATCCCAATTGGGTACCCCAGTAAGGTCCTAGTTCAGGTCACTTCACCTCTCTTGGAAGATTCTAAAGGGGTATGGTCTAGAGTCTAGAGTCCATTGGCTGCATGCATCCGACCCGGATGACCCCCCGGGGGACTAACCTGGGTGCAACGCGGACAGGCGGACGGGCGGGCCACTACTACTCACCCCTGCAGTTAAGGGGATGAGCTAGGATGTGGACCGCTCAAACACAACAGCAAGACAAAGTTTATTGATAAGATTTGATAAGCTGAAGGTCGAAGCTGTGACAGTTCCCAGCAGTGATATGCTTGGGAAAGCTCCCAGGTCCTCAAATGATTGAAATGAGCATGGTGAATTTTGCATTCAGGATCTATGATGGCCACAAGCCTTCAGTCATTCAATGATGCACCTTGTCGACCCCATGATCTCAAACACTAAGGGTGAACACCATCTGAGGAAGGGACATGCACAGATGTCGCAGATTCCCGCTTATCTCCATTCATCTCCAGCAACATCATTACCACAGTCATTACCACATATTTCATTACCACAGATTCCCACTATAAGACACACCGTTTTTGCTAATATATAATAGACAAGGAAAAAAAATATCTGTAATTAAATATGATATATGATATAGTGAATCATCCCTTTGTAATATAATAATATATAATATATATAATATAGTGAATCTGTTCAGACGTTCAACATCTGTGTCTTCCCGATCCGATCCGACATGGCCGCCAGCCACGTCGCGCCACGGCCATCAGGCTCCCTTCACTGCGAGGGACGAGCTGGATGGCTCCAGGCGGAGCGGACGCGGTGGAGGAAAAGGCTCCTTCGTCTCGAACGAACCGAGGTGCATCCCAAGTTGTGAACACTTCTTCAGAATCGAACGTGCAAGCAGAGGTTTCTGATGGTTTCTGGGCTTCTCACTGCGTAATGAATTGGCCAGCACGACGGTGTTGCAGATGTGTTTTTTTTTTACCGTCTATGATTTTGTTGATGTCCATGATGTATACTAATACATACTAATACAATACAATGTTTGTTATAGTGTTTTTTTGCAGAAACCACATTATCTTTCGAGGAGCGATCACGAATTTGGTCAATCAACCAAGTACTGTAAGTCGTGGGGTTGCTCCTGAGTTTGAGTTTCTATGTTTCTAGGACGAGGTTGCCGTCTCAATGAGGCACCTCAACCACGGGACTGTACGAAGGAGAACTACTTCCATTCGCGCCTAATTAGTCCAGTAGTGTGGCTCAGGTAGATCTACAGCAATATACATAGATTTGAGTGTCGTGTGTGTGTGTGTGGAGACAGTATTACAACTTAGTTTTGTTTGTACAACACAGAATAGAATATATATCTAGTATACACATATTACTGTATATACTAGATACATTATACTACCTGGTGGAGAATCTCATAAGGAAGAACGGGTGAACCTGCATGCCAATCGATTCACCAAGTCCAGCAATAGGTTCCCAATTCTTGATCCTGCCGTTCAGGTATATTAATTTGCGATTTGGCCAACATGGAGTGGCCAATCAACCTGAGTGGCCTCTCAACTCCTATGGACCCTCTCCTTCTATCCACCCGTCGTCGGGTGTTTGGGCCCCCTGTTGTCGGCCCCTGCCAGGCCCAGCCGTCGGCCGGTCGAGGCCGACACCACGCCGCTGTTTACCGCGGAGGCTCGATGCCGCGCCCCGGCACTCACCGGAGGTAAGGACGCGCATGTGGAGGTGTTGGCCGAAGGAAGGCGCGTTTGGGTTGGGGAAGAAGGGAACCACAGTTTCAGGTGGAGGATCTGAAATCATCTGAAATCTCACATTCTGGTATGACCTTGACCTGAAGGTATGATACTCTTGTGGTACAAGTATGACAGGTGAAGCCCAAATCTCATGTACACGAACCTTTGACCTTTGCGGTATGCTTTCTATATCAGCACCATGTTCGACTGTTCGACTTTATTTCTGTTGTCGCAATGTTTTGTTTGTGGGGCAAAATCTGTATCCTTCCGGTGCGGCCTACTGTACCGGACTGCTAAGGCAACATGGTGCAGATCCATCAACCACGCGTGGTGGGTGACACTGGGCATCAAGCGTTGATGAAATCAAAAGTAACAGGTACAATGCTGAGTAAGCCAGCAAAATCCACCAACTGGTAGGACTCTAGGATTTCGGAGTGATATGGGGTGATGCAAGGTCAACCAACCTTTGCCACTGCCTTGTCTGAAATATTGGCTCCGAACACGTTTGTTCCAAACTGACAAAGCGAGGGACTGTTAACCAAGAATCACCGCGCAGGCAAACAAGAGATATACTGTAGGTGTTGACGTCCAGATACCATGGACTCATGGCATCGATTAAGGACAACTTGTGGCTTTGGAGAGCTGACCATTGGCTTTCGGACCAATATCTCGTCTACAACCATGATGCTTGCTCGGGGTCACGGCACGGGGGGGGGGGGGGCATCGATGGGGGCGTTTCTCTGGCACGGGCTGTGTCCATCAACTGGATGTCTTGGGTGAGGTGAGCATTAATTAGTCAAACAGTTCAGAGGATGTCCAACAATGGCCACTCATTTGATCGCGGGTGCCAAGTTGTTTTCCCACCACTGTGAGGGCAGAATATGGGTTCCAGTACAACCAGCAAAATGCGTTTTTACAATGTCTTTTTTTTTGCGATTCTGTGTGATAATATATACTGTTTATACATAATTATATGCGAGCTTGTTGTTCTCCATGTTGTGAATGAGTTGTTGCCCAACACTGTCACTAGCCATGGGTGGCTGCTCACTTGAAGCTGTGGAAATCGAGGAAAACCTTTGCAGTACTGGCCTACACGTGGCAAAGGGGCCCATGAGGCAATGCATTGGCCGAGGGTGGTGATGGTTGGAAAAGCACATGACACATGTACAACCACAACGAAACAATGACAACAACAACGACAACAAACAGAGCAACACCAACATCTCCACTGGGCTTCCGCTACCACGCATGACCGGGGCTTTGTGTTTGTCCCCTTAATTTAATAGAGAGGTGATATTGCTGTACCATTGGTGCATCTCAGGGGAAATCATACTAAGCTCTCACTACACAGTCACATCTATCTATTGCAATGTAATGTCATGTAATGTATGTATAGGACAATACGGAAGCTTGTCCTACAAGTGTGGATGCCAAGCGGTTTGTTTGTATGGACTCGAGTCTTGCTTCAACAGTGGAAGGCAACCGATGTGTGCGATCTACATGACTGCAGGGGAATGCTTTGAAGTGCTGTGCTCATGAGAACCATCTTGCTTCAACGGCTGGAAACCCACCATATTCTCACAGTGGGTCACCCACTCAGTATGTAGAACTGTTTTCAATGACGTTCAACATGTTTGGGCTCTTTCAGCCTTTCAGTTGTATTCATTGAACTGTTTGTTTCAACTGTCCTCTTTCAACTGCTGGTCTCTCACTCTGGTTCAAACCTGGCCCAAGAAGCCATGTGGAGGTGACCATGTATGGGCTCTTTGTGGAGCATACCTTGTCGGACATGACGCTTTGGGAAGGCGCCTGTTGAGCGACAACCGGGGCTCTTAGTTTCAGGGTTTGTGGCGCAATGGCCGTGGCGTTTGGGGCAATCGCCGTTTGGGGATATGGCTGTGGGTCAAGACCAGGAGATCTTAGTTGACGTACCTGGGAGGTCAACCTACATGGTGCACCGGGGCTGGTCTTGACCTTCCATGTGTCAGGAATATGTCGGGTTGAGATGACCGAGCTTGGTGCACTGAAAGGCTCTCGTTTTGGGGTTGATACAACCTCAAAAGCTCTCACCAGTTGGTTTCTACTTGCATGCTGTTCGCTTGGGGTGGTGGCCTGCTGGGAGCTCTCCTTTGGTATGTCACCTGGTATGCGTTTCGTGAGGTGGCTCATGTTTCCAGACTCCACACAGCCAAGCCTCCGCTGTTCCCTCCGGTGCTGTCACGTGCTCTTTTCCATTCTTGTTCCTGTTTTGCCAAGGGGAAGATGGCGCCACCTACTTCTACCAATCTGAGCTACCCTACGATGCCGAGGAGGCAGAGCCTGAGAGTCGATGAACATCTTCAGTGAGGACAGTAGTAGGGCAGGTGGCAGTGCTTTCTTCCGAATTTGGCCTTTTTCGAATGCAAGTCGCATCAACGCACGAATTACCCGGTTTATTGCTTTGGACTGGTCACCCTTGTTTCTTTTTTGTTAGCACTCCTTGAAGCACTGACAGATTCATTTGACCTCATTTGATCCGGGTTCCCCCAAAAGAACCCGAATGAATCTGTAGAGAATATATTGCATTATATTAGCTATATTCAATACATTCATATAGCATATATATATATATACAGTACATATTAATATGAATGTAGATATTTGGTATACTATACAAAAGGAACTCTCCTGTTGAAATATACGGCAAGCCGTCAAGGTTGATGTCGCTGGCTACCGAGGCCTTCCGAGGCTGCGGCTACCGGGTGGGTGAGGCGGTGCAGCGGCACCGGGCTACAGGCGCCTGGGAGTGGTTGGGACATGGGAGCTGGTTGGGATTCTGCTGGGATTCGACGGGGACCAAAACTGACCGGGCCCGGTGTTGGAAGCTTTTTTGAGGTGGTGTACGAGACCCCTTCCTTCCTTCCTTATGCGCAAGTGAGGGGTGTTGGTGGACAAATTATGTCGCAAAAACAGTTCGACAAAACAAACACCAGCTTTTTGCTTCAACTTCAGCCAAACCTTTTGGCTCACCAGAGTCTTTTAGGAAGGCTTCACAGTTCACAGCACACAAGACTTGGGTGGTTGTTTCCTCATCAGTTGAACTGCTTGAGGCGGTGTGACACGAAAATTGAGGCGTTGGCGTCTATGCCTACTTCCGTGACCATGATGTCACCGTGCCCTTCGCGATCCAAGCCCCGGACCGAGAGACTTGGATGAAATGGGCGAGGTCCGCAAGTGGTGGAGATCTGCTCGGACATAGCACGGGTGATTCCCTGAATTGCCCAATAAGGTCACCAAAACAGTCCACCCTCACAACCACCACGTCTTTCGATCGCATTGGTCACCAATCTTGGGCCCGAAAAGGGTTTGTCGTTGGTCAATCTCAGCAGGTAGAATTAGAGTCAGCAGAGCACGTTTATTGTCAATCAATGATTGTTTTTAGATTTTAGTATCTTCGGCGTCGAAGCAGCTATTATGTAAAACCGTCCGCCTCCAGATATCCCCAGCCACATTTGACAGGTTTCTGCTCCCAGATGACACTGACGATGTTCCGAGGAAGATCTTCATGTAGTATTGTCAGTATTGTAGTCAAATTGTAGTCCAGTATCGATTAATTACACAATGATATCACCATGATAGTTTCAAACACCACTTTCAGAACCAACCAACTAGTCCAAACTAAACTTACTTACTCCAGCCAGCCAGCCAGCCAATCAATCAACCAACCAACCAACCTACCCACCTACCTACCTACCAAAGTACCAAAGCATGTTATTTCTCCAAGATCTCACATGCTTTGAATGTGGCTGAGGAAGGAGTGAGCATCCAGAGGCTGGATCTGCAAAGGTCGGGAGGTTGCGCAGGGCTGACCTGGAATCACATGCAGCCTATCACGTGAAAAAACACCTGCAGCCTAAAGGGACCGTGAAAAAAAGGACCCCTGTAAAACGATTCTCATCTATCATGGACCGTGTTGTCTTTTTGCTTTAAGATCTTTAAGGGAATCTGCGGTCCCGGGTGATTGCCATGGTACGGTTGCAACATGTCAATGTAGTCATGTAGTGGCATTGAGTTTATGGTCGTTCCTTGATTCAACCCCCCTCAAGCCAGTTCTTTCACGAAGCAGCGTCATGTTGGTAGCAATGACAAACAAAATCGATACCCAAATAAAAACCATGAGTCCGGGCCAATCTTTCCTCTACCCAGCAAGTTCTTGGAACTCCTGCCCAGGTGTGTTTTCTAGAGTCCTTTTGTAGTACTGGACCGATCGGTGCCCGTGTGTCTCCTAACCATTTTGGAAAGTTCCCCATGACTGGAGAGCAATCAAGAACAGAACTTGGCTGCTGGGGCCAGTGCCCTCTCGTTGGGAGACAACAACTCGGCTTCCTCAAGTTCTATCGACCATCTTCAGAAGTGCAAATTTTACCTTCGGTATGTGGAATTAGAGACAACACATGTTGATATTAACAACTCCCCAGGAAGAACATTTCTCGTAGTGACTGTTGGAAGAACTTGCTTTGCACGTGTGCAGTGGTGAAGCTTGTCTCAATCACAAGCCAGCTCATGTATACCATTTATACCCAGGGAAATCTTGAAATCTGCAGCATCCAGGCTGACATGCGGACCTGCCAGGCTGCTATTGCTGAAATCTCGCTGACATGGTTTTTGTCCATACCCCTCCTTGCTGATTTGCTGGATGGGCCGATGGGCTAAACCCGGACCCATCAGATAAGCTTCGCTCACCGGCCGATGGGCTCCAAACTCGTCCCGAAGAGGTGGTTGGAAGCCTCTGAGAATTGAATGTCCAACAAAGGTTGTTGGTCTTGTTTGATCGATTTGTCCCTTTTGGGGGGGGCCTGGAATAAGCTGTCGTTTCAGGCCTTTTGGAAGGCCACAAGTTCTTGTGTTGCCACCCAAGGAACGCTTTGACCAAGTACCTCAATGGCGGTCCAAAGACTTTTGTTCCTGGGAGGCTTTGCGGCAGAGAGCATCATTCTCATGAAAAGATTTAAACGACGCCTCGATGGGTGACCTCTTCATGACAAAAAGAATCAGTGTTCGTGTGATAACAGAATGATGATTGATCAGGAGAACCACTGGCTATGGAAGACCTAGCGACTAGTGGTTGATGGAAGAACATGTCCTTGAAATTGACACAACACCCACTCCTGTCACTTAACAAGATACCAGTACGCTTATAGTTGGTCAACGAGTGGAGGAGGATCTTCCTTGAAGTGCGCCTGAAGCAGTATGATGATTGCAAACCTTGTTGCGGCGAGTAGCCACAGTCGCCTGTGTGTGTAGGGATACACCTCAGGTGGTTTCTCATTCAGCTGTAAATATGCAGACGTACTGACTCACTCACTCAATCAATCAATTCCGTCGCGTTTTAGGAAGTGTCTTCTTCAGTGCGAGAAGAAGTACGGCCGGATCCAATGCTGCTCGGCAATCGGCCTCCTTGTTTATTCTTTTGCTCGGGCTGTGTGGTTAAAACAACTGCCAGTCTGCCAGTCTTGGCCGAAGAATGTCGTGTTTGGGGAATGGTTCCTCAAGACGAATCTGGAATCGGTTTGGAGCTGCTCAAGGGGAGACAAGAAACAGTAAGCAGTCAGCCCAAACCAGCCTTTGTGAGCGTTGTGGGGCAATTACAGTATCGCTGGAGGTGAAAGGGTTAGTGAGTATGAGTAGCAATACAGTGATCAGTCAACCCAAATAGAGTTGCTGCTTTGATAATCCTGGGTTGACATTGTGTGGAACCACCAAAGCACTGCAGCACGGGCTTTCTAAAAGTTCAATGTTGTGCGATTTGGCCAGGTGTGGGTGCCTCATCTAAATAGATGCACAAGCTCGTCAACCTAGATGGTCATACACAGCGGCATAATATCATCATTTCTCGTTCCATGCAAGACTGAATTTTTGGAGTCAGCTGTCAGTTTTTTAAAAGTGTTTATTGGTTTTAGCATTGCCTGTTGAGGATCTATACTTGAACTGCGTGACCACTGCTTTGAACTTGCAAACTCTTATAACTACAGTATGTGTTTCCTCCTTGTCCCAGGTTTCTTCTTTGGTCGCGAGACTGTAGTTAGGGATTGAAGCAAGTCGACTCACCTCAAATTGCCGTCGTATAGAGCCTCCATCGTGACGGTCGAATGCCGGGAATGAGGGATGCAGGCCAAGCGACGACCCGCATACGTCCTACGGTTCGCTACCAGAGAACGGTTCTAAGGCGTTGTGAAGAAGGGCGACCGCTGCCTTGGTAGCAGCACCGATACTGACAAGGACCTGTTGAGAGATGGCTGTGGGTACTCCGCTCAAGAGAACCGCCTCCAACTTTCGCAAGGCTTCCCATGTATATAGTTACTTACACCATGTTGAAGTTGAAGAAACTACAACAGGTTGGATGTTGGCTGAAGCATCAGCAGACTTGCAACAAGTGTTGTGCAACTTTTGGTCACTGTTGCGTACCCTGCAAAAGTGATTCAAAGATGCACAGCTTATCATGGTTCCCAATCACTGACAAACGAGGTACAGAAGTACTTCAGATCCGCACAGATGTCTACAAACTGCTCCAGAAACGCCTCCAAATCCACAGACGACCCTGCCCCGCCCCCATCCCCTATACCCCCACCACTGACTGTGTGATTCGTGGGAGCCACGGAGCATCGCTCTGCCAGGACAAGGCTCATTTCGCAAGTGCCTAGCCAAGGCCCAGCCTGACCCATAATCGCATGAGCTCATGACAGGTCAAAAAGCGTCGGCGGGCTCATGCAAGATGATATATCATAAGCAAACCATGGAAGAAGAACAGTGACAAAGTTTGCTGTGTTTGACTCTTTCTATAGGTTCTAGTTTCGTCATAGTCATGACGACGTTCGTGTCGGCGGCTTAGTAAGCCAAGATGGTCTTGAAAGCTGAATGACCCTCCCCGTGGCCCCAACAGGGACCGCAGCGGTCCCCCACACGGTACAGTGGTTTCAAAGGTGAGAAATGGCACAGACCCCAAGATGTCCTGAAAGTATGGGGTCCATAGTCCATACAAACCACCGTTACTTGGGGGCACAGAACCCACTGTGTATAAACCAGCCCTCTTTTGCAATGGCGTAGGGGAAAGGCATGTCCGCTGCCATCGGATGTAAACTCTATATTGAGATTGTGAAGTCCCTGTACACTCTACAGTGTACCATAGTGTACCATGCTTAATCCATCCCAGAGCCATGCATCAAACACCTTAGTTGAATGAACTCCCTCATCACTAGCGACCTCCCTGATACTGGCAGGCTGACGTACAGGCACAAGAACAGGAGTGGCTGTCCGTTTGTACAGTGATTTGTCCTAGGTTTGACAGGCTTCACGCACCCTTTTTCTCTCTCTTTCACGCCCTCTTTTGGACTTGGAGTCACTTTAATCGGTGCCTTTTTCCCATTCTTTCGGTCCTTGGTGCGAAGATTAAGTGAATCCTGTTCAACAACATCGTTTGATAGCAGGGAAGGGGATGGATTGACATCAAGTTCCATCCACTGCCCTTGTCGCGCGAAATGCGCCATCGATTCGTTAAGCTAGAGGACAGAGCGGCAAAAAGTTGTGCACCGTAGGTTTCTCTCCGCTGATTTGCACATATTGTTTATTGGTTTATATTGTTTTCGATATTGGGGAAGAATCGACCTGAGAATGCACAACGGCTCATGCACATGTTTCTGCAGTTGCACATGTTTCTGCAGATGATGTTTGTGTAATAATACCACCATGCTAATCTCGAAGCATGAATTATGTGTTTTTTTTGTAATCTATAAATATATATTTAGGTTGATTATGTTTCGCCCTATACCGAAGCCAAGTTGACTTCGCCCTGTGATGGCAGAAATACGTTTCTTTTTCAGAGCATGTACCCAAAATCGAGACAATGCCCCCTTGTGATTGCCTAGGTGTGTTTTGTTGTTCTTTTTAATAAGGGGAGAAACAGAGGGTAGAACAAAGCAAAGAATTCAATATGGGGAGGAGCATTCATTCTTTTGTATAGACAAAGAATATGACCCATGGATCTGCATCGCGTTAACATGCGCTGCCATGAATCACTGCTGAGGTTGGGCGCCGGCTCACATTGCCTCCGGTCCGCGCGGATGCAGCCACAGCGGTGGGGGGCCACGTCAAACGAATCGGGAGAGACGCCCCTCATGATCCAGGCACGTACCCAGCTGTTTTGGCCAAAAAGCACGCGGGTCGCACGCGGGTCGCGCAAAAGACTTGATCAAAGAGACTTGATGACGCTGAACTGAGAGATGCAGGCTCCAAGGTTTAGCTGTACCGGAAATGAGAATTTGTTCACTTAACACTTGTTGGGCTGGATGTTTTGGATCAGCGTACGCAGCCTCGGTTTACGCGTGAGACACGTGGATTTGTCGCTCATTTTCGCGTGTTCAGGATCGTAGGACCTAGAAAAGGTTGATGTTTGTAGCCGATCATTTCACCATTTTGTTTAGTAATGTTTTGTATAAACACGGCCAGTTTAAGGCTTTATCCAGCCAGGCAACAAAGCGTCACATAGTCTCAGCAAGCGGCACGTTTTGTTTGTTTTGGCCCACACGCGTCCCTTCCAGGTCCCTTCCAGAGAATGCTTTAGCCAGACTGAATCCACGTCACGCCGTGGACTTTTAGACTTCTTGAGTTGAGTCAAACTCTGGAAGTCGTCTGAAGCCTAGGCCAAGCTTCGGGAAGAGCTGGCAGAGGTGTGGCTCCTTCGGTCAGAAAGAACTTGCAATAGGTCGGTATACTCTTGGACGAGTGCTTGGAAGGCACAAGTGACAAGTGGTAAATCACGTCCCTCAGGTGTGTTGATGTTGGGAGTGAATATAGGGTTGAAGAAAATAGTGGACGTATAGGGTGAATTGGCTTTGACCGTGC